GGGGGGTCTTTCAGGTGTCATGTATCCAATCTCAATGGCAAATCTCCTGCATTGTCATAAAAATAAGTTTAGATGATACCCCGCCTGTTAGCACTAGAATAAGCTGGAACATTTTCGAAAAATACTCAGAAATCCAACAACTCAAAATATAGGAATAGAAAGACGTATTGAGGAATTGAGATGTCATGTATCTTTGATTTCTATAGGAACCAAAACCAAGAAAAGTCTAAAGTTGCCGTTTGGATGTCACATGGGGAAAACACAAGAATATAGTAGACGTAGAGAAAACAAAACATGTTCCTATGTAATAGCCATGTTCAGATAACATTTATATAAGAAATTATATATATATATATAGGACAAATGTTTCCTACAAGCAGTGGTAGTTACCACCACTTGCGTTTTGTATGTTGTATGTAGTATCTGTCGAAACCGAGAGTATGTACGTGTAGTATGTAGTATATAACAATGATTAGGTAGTATATATACAAATTTTTAGGTAGTATGTACCATTTTTTGAGTATGCTCTTTTTTACGTACAAATATGTACGTATTTCACAAATATAACAAAAACTATGGGCTCATATGCAATTTGTTCATGTAACTTGTTTTGAAATATCTTAAATATAGTATATAAACATATTTAAAATAAAAAAATAGTATATATAGTACCACATGCTAGTATATGAGACATGTGGGGTAACTACCACCGGGTGGTAGGATGGATTTTCCCTATATATATATATATATATATATATATATATATATATATATATATATATATATATATCATAAGATATCAATTCTTTTGTTCCAAACGATACAAAAAAAATTGTTCGCAAAAAAAGATAGAAAAAAAATATTCTATAAGAATCATATCCTCCAGAGTTCACGTGTTCTTTCCTTGTTCCAAACTTGTCCTAAAATAATGAAAATCTGAGTATGCTAGCCCTGTGTGGCAGCTAAAAGATGATCATGCAGATGGGATTGCCCATATGTACCTGCTATCCAATTCCGCATGGATATGATAAGGTCCAGTCATATATCCCACCACAAACTAATTAACTGGTTTCAGAAGAAACGGTATATTTTATTTTATTTTCCTTTCAAGTCTAAAGTACTCCCTCCATTCCATAATGTAGTATATGTATGGTTTTTCTTTTAAAAGCAAACTTTACAAAATTTGACCAAATTTATAGAGAAAATGTTATATCTACGATACCGAATATATGAAATATGAAACTACATCTTATGATGAATCTAATGTTATACTTCCTCCGTTTCTAAATATTTGTCTTTCTAGATATTTCAACAAATGACTACATACGGAACAAAATGAGTGAATCTACACTCTAAAATATGTCTACATACATCCGTATGTGATAGCCATTTGAAATGTCTAGAAAGACAATTATTTAGGAATGGAGGGAGTATTTGGCATCGTAGATGTATATATTTTTCTTCATAAACTTGGCCAATTTTGTGAGGATTGACATTTCAGAAAAATCTATATGCACTATATTATAAATTATACTTCCTCTGTCCTAAAATAAATGTCTCAAACTTAATATAACTTTATACTAGAGTTAATACAAAATTAAGACACTTATTTTGGTACGGACGGAGTAGAAGGGAGGGAGCATACCTACTAGGCATTCAGCCAGGAAGCTGGTAAAAAGTGTAGGATCAATCGATTCGGTAGCTGTTGAGAGCGGTGTCGGCACAACGGGAGCTGGCCGAGTCGGTCCATGGACAGTACAGTCAACTGTGGATCCTGTGGGCCGATGAGCAGTGCGCACAAAGGTGTCTCCGATCGGATGGCAAGCTGTCCCCGGTCTGTGCAGGCACAGTCAGGCACGTTGCAGCCACAGTTGGCATGCGTAGCAGCTTTGGCACGAACACGATGACCTGGGCTGGGATTAAGCAGCAGCATCTTCAGCTCCAGAAAGGACGGAAAGAAGACGTAGGAGTAGCATGCCGCCGGCGTTGAGCTTGACGATTGTGTCAAGCAAACTGCAAGAAGAACAAACACACAAAGCTTACGAGCAAAGGCGCGCGTCGACCAGCTATCGTGCAATTCCTTGTGGGAGAGGAAAAGGAAATTAAAACTGATTGCTGATTATAGCGGAAGACGGTGACGGTTTCGGATGGACCGTCTACTTTTCCTTCCTTCGTTCCTTCCTTCCCCGGCCACACCACACTAAAATACTCCCTAGCAGCATGTCTCTCGTATCCTCAAAAATAAAGAAGAAAAAAGCAGCGTATCTCTCGCGGCTTCTTGGTGTTGCTGTACTGTCGCCCCTGCTGCGATCAGCACACATATATCGGTCACCAAAACACAAGTTGTACTGACTTGTACCGTCATTTTATCCTCTTGGCTTCTTTGCTATACGATGTACACCTACAAGCTTGCACGCAAGCGTACTGCATACTATATGAATGACCCCTCAAAAAGCAGTACCACCTCTGTACTACAAAACAAAACGTTTATTAGGCTAGTTTAGCATGTAAAAACGTCTTATATTTTGTTACCAAGGAGCATGACAGACTGATACGAATTTTTTTTTAAGGCGATACAAGCATATTTGTTCCTGAACCATTTTAGGATCCAATACACGTGTACGTGGCAGGTGGCACAAGCCGACCACGACCACCTTATCTGCATCTCCGTCTCGAGCCACACCACCAGACATCACGTCAACCAGCTCGCCCCAGCCGCCGCCCACCCAACGTTCACGTGACCGGGTCCATTCCCCACCACCCAGACCAGGCCACGGGCCCCACGAGGCAGTGTCATCGCTGCTTCCCCACCACCACCGACGTTACGTCTCCTGCCGCGGCCACGCGCGAGGCCGACGCCCACGGATGATCAGCCGCCTCCCCGCTATAAAGCCGCCCGTGCAGCCCACGTCTCCGTCCGTCCGACCCTATGTTCGTCTCCCGCGTCCACCCAGCTAGTTGCAACCCAGAAATCTCCGGACGGCGCATCCCCAAGCCTCTCGAGAAGCGATCGATCTCCCGCTGTGCGCGCCATGTCGTCGCTCGCCGTCGGCCGCGGGCCGGAGAGCGAGCTGTACTGGCTCGGGGGCCTCTTCACGGCCGCGGAACTGGCCGCCGCCGACCTGCTGCTAAAGCTACGCGGTGACGACGAGGAGGAGGTGGCGGCGTCCGCCGACACGTCATCATACTCGCGGCGGTTCCCGAGCTCCCGCCGCGAGGACCTCGCCGTGGTGGACGAGGAGTCGAAGGAGGAGCGGGCCTTCGAGGACGCCGCGACGGCGTCTGCGGCCACGCCGTTCTCCTCGAGGCGGTCTGCGAGCTCGTGCTGCCAGGTCCCCGTGGAGGCCGAGGAGGAGCCTCGGCCGATCGTCAAGGAGACGGCGCCCTCGCTGGGGTCGATGGAGCTGGACAGGAGGGCGAGGAAGAGGCACCGCCTGCTGTCTGAGCTGTACGCCGCCACGGCCCCGGTGACATCATCCTCCGCCTCCGCGAAGAAGAAGATACGGAAGGTACACGGTGACGACGGCGCCGGCACCGTCGAGTCGTCGGTGGACCAGGAGACGAGGAACGGCGAGGGACTAGTAGCACAGAAGGGCTTCTATGTAATTACGCCGTGATCTTAGCGTTGTTTGGCCTCCTCAGCTATACTTAGTAATCTTCTCGGAGAAGGAATGGAAAACAACAAAAGGAAAACACACTTGTACAGGACTAAAAAACGAAGGTGGTTACCCCCTGATTTTGCATACTCGCATCCCTCCCCCAAGATTTCAGTTTGAATGTTTCTTTTCTCCTTGTACTTATTACATGTAAGCACACACACCAAGAATTTTTTATTATTTTTGACATGCAAAGCATGAACTCTGACGATTTCATTTCGACGACATAGAAGTTGATTTCATTGACGATTTCATTTCGACGACATATAGGAGATGAGGAGTACGTATCCCAACTATAGGGGGGAGGGTCTGCCGTCATAATGGTTACCACCTCTCCTCCTGTCACCTCTGATGTTTTTTAGTGCTTTTTGTGCAAAAAAAAAACCCTTTGAAATAAATCAGAAGTTAGAAACCAGCATAAAGGTAAAATGTTTGATTCGGTTTTTTTTTGCTAGCCCCGCGTCGCCCTCCCGCTAGGGCGGCTCGGGTGGAAACCATAGCCCCCGCCGCCAGGCACGTTCATCCTCCCCTTCCCCTCCGCCACCGCTAGAGGAGGTCGACGGGCGAAGCCCCAGGCGGTTGATAGCGGCGGTCGAGGCTCTCTTCTCTTCCCTCCCGCGCCAGATCGGTGAGGCGGGTCACCCATGGCGCTGGGGAGCTTTCCCCTAATCTGCATCGCGGCGGCGCGTTGTCTTAGGCG